CAGCACATAGTAAAAGCTGCAAAAGGACACAGCAAGTGCTAGTAGTGGGTGACTCTGCTGAAAGGCACCAAGGCATCCATCTGCCGGCCTGGTATACAGCCAAGGGAGGTTTGCTGCTTGCCAGGAGCCAAGATCTGCGATGTAAGAGGGAGATGACTGCCACAGCTGGTTAAAAGCACAGACTACTGTCCTCTACTTCTTTTCCACGTGGGCACCAATGACATGGTAAAGCAAAACCTGGGCAAGATCAAGCAGGACTTCAGAGCCTTGGAGGCGCAAGGAAAGGGTACCGGTGCCCAAGTGATTTTCTTCTCTGTCTTGCCAATCAGAGATAGGGGTGCAGGCAGAAGTCAATGATGCATCATGCAGATCAATACATGGCTTCATGGCTGGTGTTGTCACTAGGGCTTTGGTTTCTATGATCATGGGAAGTCCTTCAATGAATACAGCCTATTGGGGAGAGACAGGATCCACCTACCTAGAAGAGGCAGCAGAATCTTTGCTAGCAGATTGGCTGACTTGCCAATCTTGCTTTAAACTAACGAACTTGGGGGCCTAACGTCCAAAGCTGTGACAAGTACAAGGTCCTGCACCTGGGACAACATAACCAAAGAGCCCAGTACAGGCTAGGATCTCTGTACGGCTGGGTAGCAACTTTGCTGAAAGGGATCTGGGCATCCTAGTAGACAACAAGCTGAACAGGAGTCAGCAGTGTGCCGCTGCAGCAACAAAGGCAGATTGGATCCTGGGCTGCATCCGAAGGGGCGTTGGTAGCAGAGAGAGAGATGTGATCATCCCACTCTACTCTTGAGTCACCATCTCTGGAAGTATTTAAAAGATGTGTAGATGTGGCACTTAGGGACATGGTTTAGTGGACATGGTGGTGTTGGGTCGATGGTTGGACTCGATTATCTTAGAGGTCTTTTCCAACCTTAATGATTCTATGATTCTACTCAGCACTTGTCAGGCTGCACCTGGAGTCCTGTGTCCAGTTCTGATCCCCACAGTTCAAGAAAGACACAGGCAGACTGGAGAGGATCCAAAGGAGTGCCACAAAGATGATCAAGGGGCTGGAGAACCTGACCCATGAGGAAAGACTAAAGGAGTTAGGTCCCTTCTCCCTGGAGACGAGAAGGTTCAGGGGGGATCTCGTCACAGTATTCCAGTACTTAAAGGGCAGCTACAAAGAGGACAGAAGCTCTCTTTTCACAAGGAGCCAAATGGAGAAGGCAAGGGGCAATGGGTACAAGTTGCACTGGGAGAGGTTTCATCGCAATATAAGAAAGAAATTTTTTACAGTGAGAACAATCACCCACTGGAACAACCTCCCCAGTGATGTGGTGGAGTCCATATCATTGGAGCTTTTCAAGATGCAACTGGACAGGGTGCTAGATGATCTTATCTAGGCTCCTTTTCCCATGAAATGTTGGACCAGAGGATCTTTCGAGGTCCCTTCCAACCTGGGTTGTTCTATGATTCTATGATTTATTTGCGCGGGGGGGGTGGGGAGGGTGCCAGTAAATATATGTATGTGGATATATAAACAGTCTTCTCATTCCCACAGGAAAACATGACTAGTGCCTACCACCACCAAAAAGACACTCCCGCTTCTAGAGATCGCACTAGCTGTCTCTGATTTCCTTTCCAGGAGGTCTAGCTACCCCATGTAAAAGATGCCAGGACAATGATACAGAATTGCTTCCTTGGGGGAAAAGCTTTTCAAAGGGAAGGTAAAATCAGGTTATAGGATCCTAGGAAAAGAGCTGTATTTACATCATCTAACATAGGTATGACGTTAGTTGCTAGATTTACTAATGGAACTATATTATACATTCTTGCTGCTTTAGACTATCAACACTTTAAAACAAAAAAAACACTTTATGTCAAAAATCAGTACGTTTATTTCTTATGACTAGCATACTATTAAAGTAATTTAGCCAGAATATAATTATCCCAATCACAAAAGCTTATCAGAAAACTGAAAACATGTCCTCAAGACTTTCTAAAGGGTTTTGTTTCCCTTTGTTTTGTCAGCAGTACTTGATTTCCTTTGTTGCAACAATAATTTAACCAAAATATGGCTTACATTATTTCCATGTAAGAAAAACACAGTTCATTTGTTATTGTTGTCATTTTTAATTAAATTTAAATACGTCATTAAAATATTCTCATTAGTTTCAAAGTTTATTAAATTTCTCAGCTTCTTTCAAAGGAAGTATCTGATTTTATTTTGTATATTCTTTTGTTTGCAAAACTTTGAATGAAACATTAGAGGCTTTTAAAAGTGAATGCACTGTGTATATACTTCAAAAGACAAATGTTTTACAGGATCACAAGCAGTTCAGACATCTCCTTAGGCTAAATAAAAACCTAAAAGGAGAAACTGCCCTGTATAATATAAAACTCCTGTGGTACATATAGCACATAAACAAATGCTAACTTGACCTGTTTCAAAAAATGCAGGTTCCTTTTGTATACATCAAGGAACAAGAATACTGCATAATACAACTGTTTGACAAGATTAGCAATAAGGTTTCATTTAAATGAAAAAAAATTACAAGGTATACCTAAGAGATTAAATGTTGAAAATTTAATTGTGATCTATTTTTAAATAAATTATTAAGATAAATAATATAAGCTATTTTCCAAAGAAATATTTCTTTAATGAGGAAGCACTTTAAGATGTTCCCACACGTCTACATTTTTAAAATTTCTTATCCTTTACTTAATTCTTCTTACCCTTTTTTTAATTTCTTATCCACTATCTTTTGAAATGAAAGTAGCACTGCAGCAAAGTAGCACTGCAGCAAAGTAGCACTAAGCCACGTCCATCCAAACTGCCAGATAATAATCCATACCTCTGCATATCTCCTAATTCCTCATGTTTCAACTATTTATTGAAGATACACATCAGCATAAAACAAATTAGAAAATGTGCCTGTTCTTCTCAAGGCGAGGGATATCATCTTAATCATAATCAGGGGTCCACAGCACAGGCAGATTAAGTCCAACATCTAACCTAGAAGATTGTGTGGAAAAAGCCTGTGGCCCCACATGTTAGAATGAAGAAACCATACAGCGAGATTCTCCGAGTACTGGCTCCGCAGGCCAGGCACAATTCAGATGAACAAGCCAAGTGGTTGCTACACTGCTGGAGAAAATTAATTTTAAAAGTAGATGAAAGAGGACTGTCGGAAGGGTAAAAAAGGAAACAAGAAAGGAGTCGTCCCAGAGAGCAATGCAATACGCTACGACACAAATGCGCTACCACTAACGAGAAATGGAGAATATGGGAATTGGGAAAGCATTCCCCATCTCTCTCACATGCATTCATGCTTGAAAGGGGCAGGGAGCAGGGGACAGAAAATGAAGTTCAGGTGCTGAGGAGCGCACATGCTTCTCCTATTCAAAAGTTTCTGCCCTAACTTGTTCCTGAACTACCTATTTGAAGAGTTAGTTGGAGCCACTACTGACGATGACCTGCTAAACGTTTAGTATTTTACAATTCATAGAATCATAGAATCATAGAATCATTAAGGTTGGAAGAGACCTCCAAGATCATCGAGTCCAACCGTCAACCCAACAACACCATGCCCACTAAACCATCTGGCCCCAATACTGAGCCCTGGGGAACAATACTGAGCCCTGGGGAACAAATATTTTACAATTCAAAGCATGATACAGAAAATCTAACAAACCTTGATAACATTTCAAAGTACTGTTTTTCTACTTTTTCTTTTTTTTGGTGATTACACAGTACTAAAAACAGTAACATAAGGAGCCAAATTAAGATAAACACCATTTTGCAAATTTCTGTATTCAAGTTTTTACAATCAGTTCTATTCCACAGTCACACAAGTCCTTATTGTGCTGACACTAATGCTTGTATTAAAAATTATCATGTATGTGATATGCATATTAGATATGTGATATAATTATCATGTATGTGATATTGGACTTTAACAAAACAATGGAAAATACTGCAAAATATTCTTACCTATTTTCTTATTTCGTTCTTCCCCCCGACTGTGCGCAATAATTGGAGAATATATGAAGGGGCTTTTGGTTGACACATTCTGGCCAAGTAGACTTTTCATTTTGTGAGGTCGGAGACTGGTTGGGAGGTTCAAGAGCTTCACAGATCTGTTGAGTAAAAATAATTTTATAGATGGCTGTGTTAAAAATTAACTGATAAATACTAAATGACACTCTGAGTAGGTACTGATTAAAATACCTGAAATGGAAAATGTGAAGTAAACACCTACAGTACCAAAGAAAAGAATACCAACCCAAGGAAACTAAAGGCAAAGTTTCAGAAAGCTCTCAGAAAACAAATACCAAAGGAAAAACATCTGTAGAAACCAACAAAACCAAAACTAGCCAGATCGGTGATTTGAAATCCAGCCATTAATTTCCAAGTTAAGTGCAAACTGAACAACAGATACACCACAAGTCCAGGGCAGAAAGCAACCAAATGTTTAACTTAAACCCAAACTAGAAGCCAGACAACATTTCTCTGGACAATGTAATACAAAAAAAGAATTTCTCCAAGGTGAATAAAATAGATTTTAAAATAGTTAAAATGCACAGAGTTGCTTCTGGAAGGAAGGAAACGTCCCAGAAATTTGAGTGGGTTTGTCGGAACGATCAGAAAGCAATTACAAATAGAAAACAAATTATTTATTAGACTATATCCCCATTTGACCCAAAACCCTACAATACCGTGCAGGGAAATCACTGGCCTTCCAATGCTGATGAGAAATTAAGGACTAAATATTGGGCATAAAACAAGCACTAAATCAGTGGATATTCAGTAAAAGTAGCAGCATTTTAAAAGCTTGTAAGACTCCTAGTTACTTAAGAGTCAGGAAGGAGCGAGGAAAGGAAAAACAAAAGGTGAATAAAGGCACCATTCAATATCATAGCTATTTTGCTAGTTTATTAAGCTCAAAGTATTTGTGCTTTTAATTAAGAACGTCAAGAGAGAAGAATCTCCCCTTTACAATGACTCATGGATTAGATCTCCAACTTTTTTAAAATTTGGTTTTCAAGTAAAAAAAAAAAATTTCCTATAGAATAAAACTACAATTTTTGCTAATTGCTAGAAGTATCCCACCACACTGAGGTAGACAAGCAAGAATGAAATAAAATGCTCACAAAACTTTCCAACAACAATCTTTTAAAAGATACTTAAAGATACAGTAGGCATGTACCAAGACATGAATAACAACAGAGCCTAGCTAAAACCCTAGGAGTCTTCTAAAACCAATTAAGAGGCCAAGTGCAAGAATGCTAGAAAACCTCAACTTGTTCAAAGATTAACTCCCTTCTTCCCCCCTTCCCCACATCCACCTCCCACAGTAAAACTTATCTCACTGGAATTCTTTTATAATGCCATAATAAAGCAAAGAGGTTATAAATGCTACAGTACGTGATTAAGTTGTCATGTTTTATGAAGTTCTTCAAATACTATGACAAGAGCACTGGAGCACTAAGAAAGAAACCTGCCTTCCTCAGCTGTAAAGGTCATAGAAACAACTTAAAATCAAGTGTCTTCACTTTGAAAAGCAGGTAAGTATGCTTTTACATGTTGAAACAGTTTTGCATCATTTACAGGATATAACTGAAGTAATTCACTTGCCAAAGTTACAGAAGTTTATTTAATTTCAAAACAATAAACTATTACTGAGAACATGAAAATAATGTAAGTGTGGGAAAATAACGGAAGATTGGCTAGTAGGATTGTAAACACGCTCAAGTGACTTGTAGCTGGGGTGTCAAAAACCACATATATCATACTAAATGTTGTTTGGCCTTGTGTGTTGGACAAGTAGAACATCTGTGTTTAGATAACACAGGCCTGTGATAGACTTAGAGGCACCCTATCGAACACACTTGAGATTCCTGCCCTGCTGTGGGAAAGATCAAAGCACAGCAGTAAACTATGCCTGCGTGAATCCTTGATAAACAGGTGAAAACAGCAGGTTCGTTGACCCTCTACCATGGACCAAGCTCCACAGTGCCTGCATTCCCGCTTGTGTGCCTCTGCCCGGGTGCTGCTTTGGGGATCCCCCAGTTGGTGAGGTAACAAAAATAAGTTGACCCTTTGCATTTCATCTGTGGTTTTGTGGTTGTTCCTCCACCCTGCCTGTGCCGGCTCACACATTTGGCGTAGTCGGCAGGATTCAGGAACAGCCATGCCAGAGCTGGCAAAAAAGTCAGAGACTGGGGATGCCATGACGGTGACTCCCCATATTCCGGGATGGCCCAGTACTGAGCGCTAGACCCCTGTGGCCACTTTCCTGGCTACATGGGGTCCACCAGAAGCATGGGCTGAAACAGATGATGGGGTGGTGGTTACCCCCAAAACAACTGAAACGGCTATGCGCGGATTGCCATGGAAAGCGGCATCGGATTCTTCTTGCAAGTTAGTGACCATGAAGTTGTTGCATTACAGAGTACAATGAGAGAATTGGAAAAGGAAGTCGGGATTTTGCAAGATGCAAAGGCGATCACACAAGAAGTAACTACTACTTAAGCAGAGCAGTGCCATGGGCTGCACGATACTGTAGAACAAATGACAGCGTGTATCGCTAATAAATGGCAGAGGGGGGGAGTGAGCAAGTGGCTGTGTGGTGCTTAGTTGCCAGCTGGGGTTAAGCCATGACAGTCCTTTTTGGCACCCAACGTGGGGCATGAAGGGTTCGAGATAACAACAGGTTTGATTGGAATGTGCTAGATCAAATTTATAGCTGTTATTGCTGTTTAGCTATTAATCAGCAGGCTTCTGTTCTTGCCATGGGGCTTGGGCTTGCTTGCCTTACTGTATATTAGAGTATAGTGCTCGTTAGTGGCTGCTTTTTGCTTTCACTGCTTGTTGTACTGCTTATCATCTTACTCTGCTGTGCCTGGGAACATTCTGATAACAGCAATGGCTCAGACGTTGATTATGGGATTCAATCTGGACAGGGTAGCAGTAACGAGAAGTATCAAAATGCAGCTTTTGAGAGGAGCGCCTGCCTCACTAAAACCCTTGATTACACCAGCGGTCACAAATGCTACTGGTAATGTAGGCGCCCTAGCGAATACCTTGAGGGAAACTGGGGCTGTAACTTTGGGACCATCTGTGTGGGTAGTGAATAAAGGAAAGCCGGTAAAACTGAAAGGAGTTACATTACGGGTAACAAGGAAAGAAATGCAGAATGATCTTGTACAAGCCAGTGTCCCACGATCAGAAATAAATGGGATTACAACATCAGAAAAGTTTCACTGATGGCAAATGTTAGCACCTATGCAAAAAAGCCGACCGTCCCTGGCCCCACCACCAACTCTGCGCCC